GGGTGCTTCGGACTGGAAGTAGTCTTAACAGTGATTTTATTACATCCTCACTTCTCTCCATTGAAAGGGCCTTAACTTAGAAAGGTCGGGAACATCAAAAGGGTTTTTACGGGGAATCTGCTCAAGAAAAACCGAAAGTGATGTCTACAGGCTGTCTCAACATGTGTGTCACTTCCCCAGCGGATAGTGTCCTGCGCGACCGCCTCGCTCGGTTTTGCATCGGATTTTCGCGAATGTACCCTTGAACATTTTCCCTCCTCGTCGCAATCGTTCTCTGCTTCAGGGGTGGGAAAGTGCTTTAAGGACGTGTTCGCATATTGGGCGCAAGACCTGAGCGAGGCGGCTGCGACAGTACAGCCGCTATAATATGGACGCTTACGTTGATACAGTCTAATGTTCTCCACACAAATCCGATCCTTTGATTCAACCTTGCAGGAGGCTGGAGGGCGGAGCTTCGATCGATTAAGGTGCACGTACGCGAGAAAAATGCAGAGCTGCGTCTCCCACTCTCATGTGCTCTCTAATCGATCGAAGCCCCGCCCCCTAGCCGTCTTTCCGGTTGAATCAGAGGGTAACATTAAAAGTGCTTTGATAAAAAATTGTTTTCATTTCAATCAAAAACCAAGCAATAATACTGCTGCTGACAAATGAGTACCAAAGTACGAATCTTTTCGGAACTTCGACTTACCCCATCAGCTTTAGACCATGCCAGCGCAGGTACTTGTCTTATGGAACGTCCACTAAGCCCTTGCGCAAGTTTCGCTAGCTCTAGCAGTTCACATCCAGCAGGGTAGAGCGTCTCCTCGTCTTTGAGTTCTCTGATAGAAGGCAGCCGCTCATCTGAGCTGACCACTCCTACCTAAAGACATTAAGTGTTACCAATGAAAATGAACCCAACTGAAGTTCAGTATAAAAACTAAGCTTACCCTGATGAGTTCTTCGATGCATTTGGCCAAAATGGAATATAGAGCGACAGCAGATGGCTGTCCTACATGTTTTACCACATCTGCACGATCTAGCAATGCTCGATCCAAGCAATCTTCAAGATTCGAAGTGCACAAAACGATCACATTTGGGCGCCTCAAGCAAGTAATACCATTTTTGAACCTTCTCAACATAGAATAACTAGCCAGTCACCGTCTGATCCTGTCAATCT